CCTAAACCCAAATCCCTAAGCCCTAAGCCCCAAACCCCAAACCCTAAGCCCCAAACCCCTAAACCCTAAGCCCCAAACCCTAAACCCCGCAAACCCTCAAACCCTAAACCCTAAACCCTAAGCCCCAAACCCCTAAACCCCAAATCCTCAAACCCTCAAACCCCAAACCCTAAACCCAAAACCCTCAACCCTCAAACCCCAAACCCTGAACCCCAAACCCTAAAGCCCGAACCCCATCGAGCCCAGGGGCTCCTTCTCAGATCTGAGGCTCTGGCAACTCGGGGGTGTTGTTCAGCAGCGCAATCGTGGCTGGCCTAGAAACCCTAAGCCCTAAACCCCTAAAATCCTAAAGCCCCTAAACCCCTAAAGCCCTAAACCCCTAAACTCCTAAACCCCTAAATCCTAAACCCCAGAAGTGGAAAAGTTTGGGGGTCCTGAAAAAATGTTGACGCTTTGAAGAGTCGAGTGGCTTCGGGAACGGTTTGTGGAGCCCGGGTTTACGACTCAGGAGCCAGTGCTTCCGGTTGTGGCGCGCTGACGGAGTCTAACGTAGGGGCCTTAATAATTAGAATAGGGTTTGGGGGCCCATAAGAATATGTACTTATAATAAGGAACCCCCAAGTTAGTATTCGTCATTATTTAAGCCCCTATATGAGGGTTCAGAGCTTGAGTGAGATGGCTTCCGGGGCTCCATGAAACTCATGCCCGGTTTAGGGTTTAGGGTCCAGGGTTTAGGGTCTAGGATTGCAGGATCCTACTAACTCCTCGGTTCCTCCTCCGGTCGTGCAGGAAATGCTTTAGCAGGTGGGCTTACTGTCAACACAAAGCCCTAAACCACAGAAACCCTGACCCAGAAACCCTAAACCCTAAACCCTTAACCTATAACCCTAAACCCTGAACCCTATAACCCTATAACCCTATAACCCTATAACCCTATAACCCTATAACCCTAAACCCTATAACCGCTTTACAACCGCAAAAGCCAAACCTTGGGGCCGTGCGTTGCAGCACCAAAACCCGAAACCCTGACAGCAAAGACACTAAACCTTCTTGCCCGAAGCCCTAATGTAGGGACCTTAATAATTAGAATAGGGTTTTGGGGAGTTCCTTCTTGTAATTATGGTATAACTTACCCCCAACCCCTATTCTAATGATTAAGGCCCCTACATCAACCCTCATCCCCCAAACCCGGGCCCTAATCCTAAGGAGAAGGGAAAGCTGATCCCCAGCACTGAAAGCCCGAACCCTTCAACCCAAATGCCGAACACTCGGAGAGAGGCATTTCGGCCGGCGGTGGATAGACCTGGGGTTTGCAGTTGAGGGTCTTGAGAGGATACCTTCACATCTTCAAACGGATTCAATATCCAACTAAACCCTAAACCCTAAACCCTAAACCCCTAAACCCTAAACCCCTAAACCCCTAAACCCCTAAACCCCTAAACCCTAAACCCCCAATCGCTAAACCACACCCTACCGAACTTGCAGGAAGATTTAAGCAAGGCCTGTTTTGGAATCCTTGGGTTCACAAAAACCGGATTCCAACGTTGGAGCTTCTGGTATGCCCAGAGCCCGAATCCTGATTCCAGAATTCAGGATGTAGGGTTTAAGGGTTTAGAGTAGGCTTTAAGGTATAGAGTTTAGAGTTTAGGGTTTAGAGAAACTTGGAACATGGATTGAGTAGAGTTCGTGTTGAAAGTCAGCATTGTCTCAACCCCCAAACAAAGGGAACCCTCAAAGGAAGCCTCAAAGGAACCCTAAACCCTAAACCCTAAACTGTGTATCGAAACCAGCAAGAGGGTGAAATTTCGGGCCCGGCTCGCCTCCTCCGGCGCTGTCCACACGGTGCAGTCCGAGTCGAAGAGCCAGCCGATGGGTGCTCGAATGTGCCTTTGGGAGGGTTTAGAGTTTAGGGTTTAGGGTTTAGGGTTTAGGGTTTAGGGTGGAGGGTCGGCTTAGGTTAGGATTCTCGGTCTCAGGGTCTAGATAAACCCTGACCCCCAACACATGAGGGTTACATTCTAAGGGTTGCTTTCGGCCAGTCGGCTGGTCTCTTGCTTCATGGGCGTCAGGTCTAGCTGCGAACGTTGAAGATGCATAGTTCAGAGTTGGCGGTGCAAACGTTTCACTATAGCAGCCTAAATGAGGAGGACTAGTGTCCTGATAATCCCTACATACTATACAGCTATACCCGGGCTATACCCGGGCTATACCCCCTAAACCCAAAAAATCCTACATGGAATATAGTCCATACTGTGATATGCCCCCAACACCCTCTTCCGACTGTGAAGGAATGGAGGAGATGTAGCACAAGGAGTGGCTAGTCAATATAAGAACGAGGTATAAGTTTCCTTTATAGGGACCATAAGGGGTGTACTATGGGGGTTGAGATTAAGAGCCTTAGTAATTTGAATAGACTTTGGGGGGCATAGTAGACTAACAACCCCTAAACCCTAAACTCTAAAGCAAAAATATCGGCCGTGGTTCAGGCTTCCATATTGTGCTAGATGACAATGATGTCTTTTTGGCTCTGGGGCTTTAGAGTTCGGGCTCTGGCAGGTTGAAGGCTTCGGCTTTAAGGTTTCAGGCTTGGGGTTTAGGGTTTAGGGTTGAGGGTTTAGGATTTAGGGTTTAGGTTTTCGGGTTTAGGGTTTCGGGTTTAGGGTTTAGGGTTTAGGGTAGGGTCTGTGGAGGGGCATTTAATTAAGGTTTTTCACTGGTTGCCGTACAGAATACAGGGCTTGTCGGTATGAGAGGAAAGTGAAGGAAAGTGAGCTTCTCGGATAGCCTGGCAGAAGTTCCAACTTCAGGGAATGTGCCGGGGGAAAACTAGGTTCGTGCCAAGGCACAATATCTCATCCACATTTCCGCGGTAGCGGTTCAAGGAGAAACCAATCACAATCGCCTGCGCAGGGGAGACGGTTTGGTTGAAGGTTCACGGTTGCAGATTTGGGGACTGGGCACCGATGTAGTTCCTGGGTAGACTGGCTGCAGACATGGAGGCAGCAGGGAAAGAATGTTATGAAGCTACGAGTCTCGAAGGCCTCTCAAGGATACCAAAAGCCTTGAAACCCTCGCTGCATCTTGCTTGTCTTTGATGCAGCTCTAGCGAAGCAGTAGCAGCCAAGCGTCCTAAGTCCGGTAATACTTCGAAACTCTAAGACCCTACACCCTTAGCGGCCACCTCAACTTCTACAAGCCCTCAAAGCAAGGCCTAAACCCTAAACCCTACACCCCACACCCTAAACCCTACAAGCCCTCAAAGCTTAAAGCTCTTCGGCCGGCAGCCCCCCCAGACCCAAAAGCCCTGACCACTGCAGCTCAAACTCCTACACTTCGAACCCTGCACGGAATGTTGGCAACCGAAGGCTTTCAAAACGGTTTAGGGTAAAAGGTTACTCCTTCTGAACTCTTTCATACCTAGAAGCTGAGTACCCTGGCCCAAAAAAAGGTTAGCCTTTTGAACTGTACTAGGATCATATATGCCCCAAAAGGTTAAAGGTTACCTACTCGGCCCCTTAGCATAGCAACA